AAGTTGGCAGTTCAAACCCACCAGCTACTCTATGCGAGTAAGATGAGACTTTCTGCTCTTGTAAAGACTGACAACCTTGGAAATCCTATACAGATTTGCTATGAGTCGGAATCAACTTAATGGCAGGGGCAGAGGGTGCTCTTTATGGGAACAGATTGCCATGTGGTTAGAGTAAACCCCTTTTTTCCTTATGGAGTGCTGGTGGGTTTAAACTGTCAACCTTTCCATTAGCCGCCAAGCAATCAGAGGGCTCCCAGAACTCTTTTCTTTTACATTGAATTGGAGAAACCCAAGATACGAGTTGGACCTCAATATTCTCTGTCTTGTGGTCAGTTTTCCAACTCACCAGATTCCCTAGAATGGCCCTCAAAGAGTTTTACAAATTGCACCCCACTAATCCTTCCAGCCTCTTTGCTTCCTGCTCCCTGGTATATATGCTCTCACCACTCCTATCCACTTATAGTTCCACCAAGCTCACTGATGACCTTGTGCTTTTATATAATAGGTTTCCCAGTCCTGGAGTGTCCTTAGATCAGCTCTTCATCTGAACTCTCCTTACATATTTCAAGATTCACCTTACAGTTCCCCTGAATGTCCAGGGAGCAAAATTAGGTATGAGTTGTTGTTGTTAAGTGTTGTCAAATCGGTTCCAAACCATAGTGACCATGTATAGGGTTTTCAAGGAGCATCTGGTGAGCTTGAACCATCAACCTTGCTGTTGAAGCCAACTGTACAGTCTAGTGTATTATCCCACAACACTACACCAGCTGTCTTTCTACTCTGACTGAACTACTGCATCACATGGTATAGTACTGCTGGCCCGCTGTTACTGTAAGTTGCCATCCACTCAGCCCCCAACTATTTCTTCTCCTTTGAGGCATGTACGTGGTATATTAGGCCTCTTGAAGTTGCTTAAAGTTCACTGATGCTCTTTTCATTTTTGTAAAGTCTTTTTTCTCTCTTAGATTAATTTGGGATAGTTCCTACTGCTGGGTCCTCAAATTTATTAGCATTTTCTGCTGCAGTGTCTTGTTTTTTGGTAAGTGCATTGAGTCTAGTGTGCTGTTAATTCCAAGCAATGTACACATTCTCAGATGTTAGAATTTTCATTCCTAAAAGTTTGATTTTAATCTTTTGTCTTAACTTTTGTCTTTTCTTTGTCTCAATTTAGCTTTTTGAGCATATTGTCCTTATCTGGTAAATTCTATTATCGGTATCAGTTAGGGGTCAGGTTTGATGTGTGGACAAAGACACATTCTCTTGCTTCTTTGCACTCCTGTTAATCTTCGAATTAGATCTTGACATTGTGAATTTGCTTTTGTGGGTGATAGGTATTGTTGTGGGAAGCACAGTGGCTCTTTATGATAAGCAGTGAACTGTGAACCACAAGGTCGGTGGTTCCAGCCCACCAGCCACTCTGTGGGAAAAATATGAGGCTTTTTGCTCCTACAAACATTTACAGCTTTAGAAATCCTATACAGGGTCTCTATGAGTTGGAACCAAGTGGAAGACACTTACCAACAACAACAATGTATTATTGGATTCCCACAAATACTTTTGAGCTTTGTTTAAGTTACTTGGAAATAGTTTGCAGCAAAGTAACTTGGAAATAATTTGATTACTATGAATCTTTTAAGACTTCTTAGGCAAGAGTAGAACAGATTTTAGGCTCCAAACTCCAAATTTAGGCTCCCAAAACCAAATTATCTCTAAACTTTTAGGGGGTTCTTTTCTCAGCATTGGCTAGTTCCTCACATGCATGCACTGGTTAATACACTACAGAACAGGAATCCTCTGAAATTCCTAGTAGCTCTTTCTCTATTCAACTCTCTCCTCTCTGGTATTTGTCCAGTGAACACAAGACTCTAGCCTCTCAGTTCTGTCTCTTCACCAGGCTCTATCCGTGGTCCCTCCTCTATCCATTGGCCTGGAAACTCAAGTAAGCAAGCTGGAGCAATCACAGGGCTCTCTGAGCTTCTTTCCCACCCCTCACTCTGCAATGTCTTGAAACTATTGCTTCATAGATTTTCTGTAATTATTTGGCTGATCCAGGTCGGAAAGTAAATCTGGCCCCTATAACTTCATCATGGTAGGAAGGCAAAGTCACTGTGCATATGATATAAATGACTGAGGCACCCTGGGGTAACCTCTTAGGGAGTGGTGGGGACCATGGTGAACTACCATGTACAAGAAGCAGCAGACAGATTCACTGATGGCTGCTGCAGGGAAACGCAGGCCACCGATTACCACAGAAGCTTGATATGGGACATTTCTTGATTTTAAAACACTAAGTGGGTCACATTTAACATACCTGCGGCCTATCTCTGGTTGTCTAGACACCAGTTCTGACTCTTGTCCCTCATTGACATAGAACAATAATCTTTCTCTAGCACATCATATTTTTGCAGTGATAGAAATGTTCTCTATCTGTACTGTCTAATACAGCTGTTCCTAACTAGATGTGGTTATTGATCCCTTGACATGTGGCTGGTCCCCTAAGGAACTGAGATTTTAGCTTAATTTAATTTAAATTTAAATAGCCACCTGTAGTTAGAATAAACACTTAGGAAGAGTCAACAATCCTCAATGATGCTTGTCACTGGGGGCAGGTAGCAGCCAAAGGCAAATCTTTATTCTGTTCTATCTTCCCTTTCCAGACAAGAAGGGTACAAATGGTTAACATATTTGGCTGCTAACAGTAAGGTTGGAGATTCAAGTCCAGTCAGAGGTGCCTCAGAAAAAAAGCCTGGCAATCTGTTTTAAAGAGTCCTGGTGTGGCTGTGGGATAAAGCACTGGACCACAAGGACCACAAGGCTGGTGGTTCAAATTCACCAGATGTTCCTTGGGAACCCTAAACAGGGTGGTTATGACTTGGAACTGAATCAATGGCACTTAACAACAACAGCAACAATCTACTTAAAAAAAAAAAAAAATCATTGAAATCCCTGTGAAATACAATTCTACTGTGACATACAAGGGGTCACCATGATTTGGAATTGACTTGATGGCAACAGCTGGCTCCAGACAAGAGAACCCAGGTACTTAATTTAGCTACTCCGGCAGTCCTAGCTATTCATAAGCTCTCCCAACATCTTACTTCACTGTTATTATTATTATGAACTCGAAGATCCTTAAAGCAAGAGACAGTATCTCTAGAGAAAATCCAGAGTGGAGTTCTCAAACTGGTAGCAGCCAGATGAAATGGCTTTTGCAATGTTGAAAACTGTTTGAGCCAATTAGTCCAAAGAACTAATGAACTACACAAACCACAGCTTATATGGCCCTGACACCAGAAGAACTAGATGGTGCCCGGCTACCACTTCCAAACTCTTTGAAAAGGATCATAGTAAGAGGTCCTAGGTAGAGTGGGAGAAAAATGTGGAACAAAACTCAAAATCATAAAACAGGATAAGGCTTATTGGACTGTTTGTGACTGGTGAAACCCCTGAGACCATGGCCCTTAGTTGCCCTTTAAGCCTCCCCTGTGCTCAACTTTTATCCAAGCAATAGTCGTATCAGACAGACAATAAGACCAGGGAGGCCCACACTCACCAGAGCAACCAACCGAAGGATAATGCCCAGAAGGCAAGAAGGAATAGGAAAGAAGGGTAATCCAAAGTGCTAAGTACAAGGCTGCTGTTACAGTGTGGGGGTAGCAATCAATGTCACAAATCAAAATGAATAGGAATTGTTGAATGGAAAACCAACCTGTTCTGTAAACTTTCACCCTAGTCACATTAAAAAGTTAAAAATTAAATAAAAGCAAGAAGATAATATTTGAGCCAACATTTATGAACTGAGATGCATCACATCAACCCCATTTTACTAATTGCTCTTGACAAATTCTAAGATTGAACATAATTGGGTTCACATTGACTAAAGGTGAGCAGTCACTGCTCATATGATTTTCAATTTGCCACAATCCTCACTACTCCCTATTGTTTCACTAACAATAAATCTTTTTGTTGGTTACTTTTACCATTGTAATTGTGCTGCTGTTTTTATGATAGTGCAGAAATATTTCTCTATACCCATACTCCATGTTTTATTCTATGGCAGTAAGCTACAAAGGAGCTCTGGTAGTGTAGTGGTTACGAATCGGGCTGCGAACCTTAAGGCCAGCAGTTCGAGACTACCAGCCGCTCCACGGGAGAAAGATGAGGCTTTCTGCTCCCGTAAAGATTTACAGCCTCGGAAACCCTGTACAGGGTCGCTATGAGTCAGAACCAACTCCACACTCCACGGCACACAACCATCACCACCACAGAGACTAAGGCTAGGAGAGACTTACTAAACAACAACAAGCTACAAAGTAAACTGATGGGGTTTTGTAATTTCCAGCTTAGTTCATTTTATCTAGGTCTATCACACATCTGACCGCTATGGACATTTGAATATGTGAAAACTTTTACTAAAAGGATGAAAAACAAATAATACAACAAGAAGGCTACAACTTTCCATTTCATGACTCATGGCGAACATCAGTAATTCTTGGCTCCCTTTCCTCAGGGTTTTTTCTCAACACAACACCCCTGACAGCCATTTCTGCACAGCCAATTTTGACAGACAGAATGATGCCCATTGCTATCTTTCATCTGGTCCAACCCTCTCATTTTACAGAGCTGGAAACTCTGTAATCACGAAAGCAACCACTGAGTCAGTGGTAACGCCATGATAAAACCTCAGGTCTTAACTCCAGTACTATTTTCACACACCCAAACCACACCATCAAGAAGACAGAAAATGAAAACATGATTTAAAGTCAGGCTTGCCTTTGGCAAAAGCAGCCAACACACAAGCCTGGCTCGATCAGTTACTTCCTTTCTCCAACTCATCACATAAGTTCTCTTCCTCATAACCTGCTGTTGCATTCAACCGCTCTACTCATGTTCCTGTTTCAAAGTAACAGTGACAGTTAACTGTCTTAGCTCCCCCCTGGACTATCACCATTCCAGCTTCCATTCTCTCAGTCATCCAAAGAGTCAGGGGGAGTACTTACGGCACCCGGAGCTTGGGGAACTTCTGTATGTCATTTTCTGTCAGGTTCTGAAACCAAGATACATATGGCAGACAGGTTATACCCCGTAAGAAGAATTTTTCATTAGGTCAGCAGAGTAAGACATGGTGGGAACTGAGGCAAACTGGAGAGAAAGTCTCTTCCCAACCCAAACTTTCTAGGTATTACATACAAATCTGTGGGCCTGCTATTGCCTCGCCCCTACCACCAAAGGGAATCCCCAAATCAGAATTAGTTGTAAATATTGACAAAGAATTTTAATTTAAACAAACATGTTATGCATATGAGGGCTAAATCTATGCGAGACCAAAGAGAATGTGGTCTTGTTCAGAAGAATGAATGTGGTCATCTTGCAACCTCTTCCCTAGTCTCTTACTCTAGACTGGATCCCCTTTTAATCTACATTCAAGTCTGTCTAGAGAAAGGACCCAGGCCTTTTATTACCATCACCACATCCCCAAAGTCACAGTCACCATGTTATTAGTTAGATTATTTAGATGTTGGAATGTAATAAAGGGGCTTCCCAACTACTATTGACAAACTGGTTCTGGGCCTCTGCCTTATAGGATTTTCAATTTTCAGATCAACTTTGTGATGAGGGAAAGATGAGTGTTCCCTTGTTATAGGTTAGAGCCAAGCTGCGGCAGGGGGATATGAAGGAAATTGTAGTTTGTAGATGGAGCTGGGGCTGGGGCTGGAACCATCTCTTCCTGCAAGCCCTTCTACTTCCATGTCAGAGCACTCTGAGGGTGCTGGGGGCCTGCACTGGCTGTGAGGAGGGTGGAAAGGGTGAAAGAAGTCATTTTGAAAAGAGGAAGAAAATAGGTTTCCTGATCCTGAGAACAATAGAGAGACTTATTATGGAAACCATTAAAGGGACCAAGACTGCTGCAAAGAAAGATGCACTGGGACTTCACTGCATTCTGATTAAGACCAGATGGCTAGGTGGTCAGGGTGAGTGCTCTTGAGACAGCAGGGATTTGAATCCCGGGTCTTCCACTTAGCAGCTATGTCAGTGGGGCACAGACTTAACTTCTTGAGTCCCAGCTTTGGTATCTGTAAAATGGGGGTCATTGTAATAATAATACCTACTTTCCAGGGTTATGGAGATCAAGTGAGGCAATGCCTATAATGTGCTAGGCACAGTGCCTGGCACATGTAATTGGGTGTGTGGGTGGGTGGAGGTTAGGGAAGAAATTACAACCCAGGGGACAGGGAATAGCTGGCACTCTGACTAGCTCTCTAGGCAGGAATGATTTTTGCCTCTTCTCGCCATCTGGACTGAGGGTTGCCTGTGAGGTTGCTTCCACACCCTTCAGAGGATAGGACTGGGGCAACTTAAAAAAACAAAACTAAACAAGTTGCTGTTGAATCAACTCCAATTCATGGTGGCCCTACGTGTGTCAGAGTAGAGCTGTGCTCTATGGGGTTTTCAATGACTGAATTTTTGCAAGTAGATTGCCAGGTCTTTCTTCTGCACCTCCAACCTGGGCTACCAACTGAGTGCATTAGCAATTTTTACCACCCAAGGACTCCTGGGATATCATTATTGTTGTTGTTGCTGTTAAGTGCTGTTGAGTCAGTTCTGACTCATAGTGATCTTGTATAGGGTTTCTGAGGGACAGCTGGTGGGTTTGAATTGTTGACCTTGTGGTTCATAGTCCAGTGTTGATCCTACAGTGCCACACCAGAAGTGCTAGCAATGTGCTTATTGGGCTCATTTGATCCAGCTGGTTTTGTTGTTGCTAACTACTGTTGAGTCGGTTCTGACTCTTAATGACTCTGTATAGGGTTTCCAAAGAGCAACTGGTGATTTTGAACTGCTGACCTTGCAGTTCAAACTGACCTTGTGGTCAAGTGCTTATCCTATAGCACCACATCAGGACTCCATTTGATCCAGCAGTAAGGAGTAACTTCAGACCCAGCAAGTTTATCAGACCACCTGAGATAACATTGAGTGGGTGAAAGCAGTCAGCCAAGAGTCCTGAACCAGGCTTTGTGATCAAGCTTCTTAACTCTTTCTTATTGTTTTTTTTTTTTTTTTTTTTTTCCAAATCATTGAACAGCAGCATCACCTCCCTCCAGAGCCACTGGGATCTCAGGGACACGGGACTTGCTCCTGTTCAGAGTGTGGGGTTGGATCTGAGGGCCTCCTGGAGATGCTGAAAGGGAAGGTAGCTGACCACTGGCTTGTGTTTGGCTGGATGGAGTCTACAAGCTAAGGGGAGACCAGGAATCATGTGAAGGAGAAGGTGGAAAGGAACATACTGGAGAAACAGGAGCGGGAAGTCAGGCAAAGACACACATCCTTTTAAATAGGAATAGGAACTTTGAAGGAAAATGAGAAATGTTCAAATAGAATTTTCTTTTGGAGAGTTTTGCTATGTGATGCAACCCATCCTCCTTCTTCAAAAACCTTCCAGAAATTCCAGTAACAGTCATTTTAGAGCTAGATTTGTAGCTTTTTCTGGAGTATTTGAGAAGTGCAAAGAAGGAGGAAAAGCTGCAAATTGGGCCTCATCTAGAGAGGTGATGTGGACGACATGGCTGCTGGTTGGCCCGAGGTCCATTCTCCCTTTCTTCCTTCTTGGCCTGTCAGTTGACATGGAGTCAATCCTGAGTCAAGGGACACCATGTGGTGCAAAAATAACCACTCTCAGGGCTAGCTGAAAGGTTGCAGGTTTCGAGTGTATTCAGAGATACTGGTAAGAAAGGACTGACAATCTACTTCTGAAAAATCAGCCACCTAAAAACCCATGAAGTACAGTTCTATCTGACCCACATGGTCTTTTCTGGCAGGGCCTGAGCTTTTTTTCAGGGCAGCAATGTACCCTGCTCAAATATTTAACCACCTAGATGTCCTCATAGCTCTCAGAGGACACCTGACTTCAGTTGTGGCCAGTAATATATAGCCTTAAATCTTCTGGAAATGTTCCTAGATGTCAGAAAACAGACAGACAAACAGGGAGAGACTCCCTGTGTTACTAACTCTTCCCTTTGTCCACCAGCTTCTGCCTGTGAGGCTGATGGGATGCCTAGAGGGAGAGTATCCAATTTGCAAATCTAAGGAAGAAGCCACAGGCTTTTTAATACGCAAGAAGACATCTATGTTCTTGGTGTCTTCCTTGAGCATTGTACCAGCCCTGGGCATCCATCTGTAGATTTGTTACTTCTTGAGAAAGATAAACCTTGATTTGGTGAACCCACTGTGGTTGGGTTTCTGTTGCATGTAGCCTCTAGCCCTCCTAACTAACTCAGGCTCCAAGCATATTTCCTCCACTTCTTCTATCTTCTGAAGTGAAGCACCTCCACCTCCCACTGATGGCTTGATGCCTTCAAACTAGGGGCAGTGACAAACATCCCTACCTCTTCAAGGGAACACACTAACTGCTACTCTACAGAAAGAGAAGGAAGGAAGGGAGAGGAAAAAATGTGGGAGGAAGAAAGACCAGGGCTTTCCACTCTATGTGGATATTATAGACAAGAATGTAGAGCTCACAGCTGAGTCCCAATTGCAACCAGAGTGCCTAGTTGGGGGCAGGCTAGGAGAATCTCAGCCAAAGATGCCTTTGAATGCCCCAGTTGCAGGGGCAAGCATGGGGTTCTGCTCCCTGTCACTCCTCTTTCCACTTCCTCCTGCTCCACATGCCAGGAGCAGAATGCAGTGCCCCTCAGAGGGCGGATGGTCTCAGAGGATAGAGTAGGGGTAACCCAGCTCCTCAGATACCATCTCCGAGTCAGGCAAATGATCTGAAACATGCCCAGGGAATGTACAGGGGAATCCCAGAGCCACAGGGTCTGCTACTGTGGCATCAAGCCAGGGCACAAGACCGCCACAAGGACCAGCCCTACAGATGACATGATAAGTCTGTTCTCGGTGCTATAGGCACCAGCTGAAGGGTTAGCAGTGAGAACAACAGCAGAAAGTGTATAGCTCCAGGAATTCTACTGGCTTAATAGCACAAATAGCATTGTTACGTCTCATACAGTATTGTTATTGTTGTTGGTATGTGCCATCAACTCGGTTCCGACTCATAGTTACCCTATATAAAGTTTCCAAGGAGCAGCTGGTGGGTTTGAACTGTTGACTTTGCAATTAGCAGTCCAGTGTTTAGCCTATCATGTCACACCAGAACTCATACAGTGTTAGACTAAATTAAATATATGCTGCAGTCCAATTAGTAGGCATGTGATTTGGGGTGAGTCACATAACACTTCTGTATATGGATTTCTTCATTAGCAAATGAGGAAATCTTCATCCTGAAGATATCTTCTTACCATAATGTAAGCTTCTAGAAAGCAGGAGTCCTATATTATAATACCTGTCTATCCCTAGCATGTCCCCAGAGCCTGGCATGTTCTAGTATGTAATACAAACTCAGGAAATGCGTGCCAAGTGGATGGATAGATGAATGAATGAATAAATGATCTAGATAGAATAGTAATTAATAGATCTTAAGTGGTACCTAAAAGTAAAACTAAGACCAATAGGGACATCAGTTTAGTCTCAGCATGAGAGTTCAGTCTGCCCAGAAAAGAGCAGATGATTATTGGCAATGTTGGGCTCACCATCGTTAAAGGAGATCAAGCAGATGTTGAGGGCAGTCTAGGTGTTCTAGAGCTGGAGGACAGGAACTCTCTGGCCTTTGCAATCTTAAAGTCTCAAGGCTGAGGCCCCTTACTGACTAGGCCTCATGGTGAATCACAGCCCAACTTACCCTCGCCACTCAGAATCCAAATGGAGCACATTTACCTCAGGTGACCCTTGACATTTTGTTCCCACTTCTTTTTGAAAGGGTGAAGCAAAGTATCCAGAATGAATGGAATGATGTAGTCAGGGTCTCTCTTATCCATGCATGAAGTTGTCATTTCAAGGGAAATGCTCAGACAACCTCCTCAACCACCCAATGCCTTTATCTCCACCATTAGAATTGTATCCATTTCTCTTTAATGGCTCGATCCTTAATATACATACAGCTGCATCTTAAACGTTTTGAAATTAAATTGACACCAGACCAACTATGTGAATTTGATAGAGACAAAAGGAAAATAGTAGGACCAAAGAGGTTCAAGTCACCTTTTACTCTGCTCACTGACTATGTACTTATATGTGAGAGATGGGAGAAGGAAATATTATGGTCCCCCAAATTGTCTTTTCTTCCCATCTTGAGCTTCTCAAGGTATGGATGACATTTGAATATATTGTTTAGGTTCTTTTTTTTGTTGCTGTTATTTTTTGGGTAATTATCATTGCAGTCCTCCTTTTACTTTGACTTTAGAGTATTCTTGTGTGTAAGGCAAGAGCTGAGAGGTGTGTGCCATAGAAGGGTTCTGAAAGGTCGTGTAAAAGAGGCTTCTGTCAAACCTCTGAAGAAGACAAAGGGCTGAAGATAAGCATTGGCCCTAGGAAGCCACAGGGACAGGGTAGACTAGCTGACTTAGCAGTCACTGGGAAAAGCACACAACACCCTGGTTTTTATGTTTGTGCAGAACTTACCAGAAACCGTGACCCATCAATGTGGTACTTCTTCACTGCCTTTTCACAGTCCTTGTAGTTCAGCTGCGAAGAGACGGAGATGTTGTCGGTGGTGGGTAGACTCATGTCATTGGTTTCCCTCCATTGACTGCCCCAGAAGCTTAGCGATTTGTGGTACTTGTGGCTGGCCAGACTCTCCCCTTTCCTCTTCTGTCTCACAGAGGGCCTGTCCTTACCTCAGCCCTCAGCCCTCCTTTCACTATCCCTTTGGGGCTGTCTGAAATGGAGATATTGCCTCATTTTAAGACCGTACTAAAAGAGACTGTCTTCATGGCATCCCAAGGGCTGGATAAAGGAACCTTACTGCTAGCTAGAGTCATATGGTCCTGAAGGAACTACCGAGGAGTTGCTGAGAGAAGAAAACACATACTCTCCATCTCTCACGACTCACAGATAACCTTGATGAATGTTCTGGCATGTTTCCTTCAATGCTTTAAGCATATTTCTAAACATAATTGAGGTAATAATTTCTATTCAATCTTGTTAGCCTGATTGCTTTCTTTTAGAGTTCCTTAAAGTGATAATATAAACATTGTCTCATAGGATTACAGTTTTACTTGAAATATCATTTTAATGACTACAATATTATTTAATTATGCCCTTATTGGTGAGCATTTAGGTTGTTTTCTAAAATTTGCTGTTCCAACAATGGCTGTTCTAAATATTACCTTTTTCAATAGCATGATAATTTACATACAGTAAGAAAAGGTCAGGGTCTCAACCCTAGATCCACTAGATCAAGAACATTCATTGGCATGTGGTTTCTGTTTTCTATCTCTATGTGAGATAAATTGTTTGATTCTTAGAGTTGTAGGATCAGCAGTCATGAGCATGCTGAGGGGCGTGGTACATTCCTAAAAGGTCATGCGATTTGATAATCATATGAGGTGTCCATTCCCCCTTATCCTCAGTAGCATAATAATCACATTTCTTAATCTTTCTGAATTTTAGAGTCAGACTATGCCAAGCTGACATAGTCTGTTCTTGTTTGAGGATTTTAGGGTCCTCCCACAGTGTGGGCCTCAGAGTTTTGTGGCAGCCTTCTTTGGGGATAAAATGAAAATCATCTTCTTCTTTTAAAGCTAACAAACATAAACATTAAATACACTGTTGTAACCTCGTAACCTGAAAGCATGAGAAGAATATCATCCTCAGAACGCTGATTTAGAGGTCAACATCAAAAACAAATAGCATTAAGGCATCTCTAGTTGTAGGTTTCAAGTTGACTCTAACTCATGGTGACCTCATATGTGTCAGAACTGTGCTCCATAGGGCTTTCAAAGACTGAGTCTTGGGGAAGTAAATCACCAGGCATTTCTTCCAAGTCACCTCTGGGTGGACTTGAACCTCTAAGCTTTCAGTTCGCTGTCAAGTTCATTAGCCGTTTGCACCACCCAGGGACTCTAAGGAACTATGGGCTTATTTTTTATTGGCATGCAATGTGGTGTAAGCAGTTCTTAGAATATCCTGCTGCCTTAAATTAATCATTTCCACTGTCATCGCTATCAGATGAATCTCTGGGTGTGCAGAGTGCTATGTTTGACTCTGAACTGATAGACCTGCAGACGGAGGCCTAAATGTTTGGTTCTGACCCAGGAATGTGTGTCTGGGGGTCTGGAATCTAAATATTTGTATTTATATGTTTATCATTTGTGTGTGTGTGTGGTAAAATATATTGACAAAACATTTTTTGCTGTCAAAACCTACCAGCCTTTCCATGAGAGAAAGATGAGACTTTCTGCTCCTGCAAAGGTTTACAATCAGAAACCCTATACAGGTTCTAACTCACTATGAGTTGGAACCAACTTGATGGTACATACCACCACGAGTATCACCAGCAATCACATTTGCTATTCTGTACAACTAGCATCACTGTCTACAATCTGTCATTTTGACAACACCCTAGAGGATTATGAAGGAGCTCTGGTAGCATAGTGGTTACTAATCGGACTGCGAACCGCAAAGTCAGCAGTTTGAAACTACCAGCTATTCTGCAGGAGAAAGATGAGGCTTTCTGCTCCCGTAAAGATTTACAGCCTCAGAAACCCTGTACAGGGTCGCTATGAGTTGGAACCAACTCAACGGCACATAACCACCACCAGCAGAGGATTATGAGCAGCCAGCTTTGGTAGGTATTGGTCTAGAGCAGTTCCTGGCATCACAGATGAAATAACTGAGGCCCAGAGAGAGGAAGGGACTTGCCTAAATTTGCACAGTGAGTTAGGAACACAGTTGGGATTAGCACACATGGGTCTGAGTCAGTACCTCTCTACTGTAAGGTACAGAGATGCTCTATGGCCAAATCAAAAGGAATTGGAAAGGGAAAGAAATACAAACTTGGTTTTGGTCCTCAGGGACATTCCTAGCAATAGATATGAATGCACATCTAAGACAGGAAGACACAAATGCAGCCAGCCTGATGAGCCACCCCAGCCCAGATCCAGTTAATTGGAGTCCTGTGGCTCTGTGGGTTAGGCACTGGGTGACCCTCTTCTCTTTGCTGAAATCCTCACATACAGTGTATGTCCTTTAATCCTCATAACAATCCCCTGAGGTTAGTTACTATTAACCAAACAAACCAGCTGCTCTTGTGTTGACTCCAACCCATGGCAACTCCATGTGTGTCACAGTAGAATTGTGTTCCTTGGGGTTTTCAAGACTAAATTTTCAGAAGTAGATCATCAAATCTTTTTCCCAAGGTGCTTCTGGGTAAACTTACAGCTTTTAGTTTAACAGCCAAGCCTGCTACTTGCTTGGACCATGCAGGACTCCTAGTGACTATCTTGGTGTCTCTATTTTATTGATGAGGAAGCTGAGGCACAGATGGTGGCTTAAGAAAAAGGAAGGTCACCAAGCTGGCAGGCAGCAGAGCCGGGATTCACACTGAAATGTGTCTGACTCCAGAGTTGGGGTGGGCATCTTAGAGGGTGGCCTGGTCCCATTGCCTTGTTACAAACTGCACCTAACAATGGGTTCTTTCAATGGTACATTGGATCACTAACATGACTGAGTAGTCAGTTTACTTGGGATTTATCTCTGGGGGACAAAGATGCTTAGGATTTACAAGTTATTATCTGACTGTGTAGTGGGCTAGGTCTTCCCAGATCACAGCTTCCTCCACTAGTTCTTGGATGCTAGAAAGGAGACACTGTCCTGGTGTTGTGGAATAGTCCCTTGGCCTGGGGTCTTCAAAACCAAATCCCCCCTTCCCCTAACACAGTCAGAAAGATGTCTCTCTGAACCACCTGATCTATATTCCATCTCCCTCAGTTGACAAGAATTGTAGCCATGGATTCCTCTGTTTTTAGATGGGCTGTGCGACATTGTTCTTCTTGGACCCAAAAATGGGATCTGTTTGTGCCTCTCAGTCTGTTCCCTAACTTCCCACACCAATTCTGATTTCTTTCTCCTTTCTTTCTTGAGCTAACAAGTAATTTTATTCCATAATGGAAAATCTAACTTATTTGAGCTACATTTAAGAAACATATTTTGAAAGACAACTGTCCAACCAATAACCTTTGCACATATAGTGTTGACACCTAATTTCTTATTCTCTTCTTTTTGGTTGAGGAAAGGCAGTTGTGACTGCGGATTCCTAGATACTATGTAGACCTCGGTTTGGCTGTGTATCCTATGGAGCCTATTCTACATCTGGGATCTCAGTTTCCCCAGAAGAAATGGGAAGATGATTTCCATGGCCTCTAAGATTTTCACTAGATGAAAAGGCTTAATTTTTAGGACAGTCTGGAGAGTCAGTTAACTTTGGTGCCAACCTCTAGGGATGTGGGTGTTAAAGTTAAAATATCCCTCACAAAATATCTTCTTCTTGAACAGAGATAGAGGATTCCTAACCAAGTCCTGGTGTGGCACTGTGGGCTAATGTGTCAGTCTGCAAAGTCATTTGAACTGCAAGGTCTGTGGTTCAAGCTCACCAGCTACTCCCTGAAAATCCTATACAGGGTCATTATGGGTCAAATCTCCTTGATGGCACTTAGCATCAATAATAACAGCCAAGTCCAGTGGCTTGAGGTCTGCCCAAGAAGATGAGGCCCCCTCAGCAGATGACCTTTCTTGAGGATCCTGGGGCATCTTCCTCAAGGCTGAAAGGCAGGGCAGCAACACAGATCCCAGCTCTGCCACATCTGAGCCTACCTGGCCTCTTCCACTCTGGGGCCTCAAATTTCCTAGCTGTAAACTGGGTGCATACCCATTTTCTGCTTTGCATCCCAAGTATCTTGTAAAGTTCCAAAGAGATTGTTACGCAAGGGCTTGTGGATCCTCCTTCCAGGTCATGAGTATTGAATGCCCACACATTCTGTGTAGTATTATTAACCATACTTCTCTATGCCCGCATCCTGCCTTCTCTATCTCCGACCCTTTTATAGGACACTATTGTTCCTCTCTTGGTAAGTTGCCTTGATCTCATTAACATCTACAACACTTCACTGAGTCCCAGAGCACAGATGGGAGAAGCACATTCCTTTGTCATCTGCAGTTGCTGGGACTTGGACCACTAAACTTCCCTGAGCTAATTTTGTAGCTGAGCCAGTGGGACAATACTGACCTCACAGGGTGTTGGTGATCATTAAATGGGGGGATACATGTCGGGAACTAAACTCAGATCTTGACATATATTAGGCACATGCTTGTTTTAGGGATACCTTCCTTCTTTCTCTCCACAACCCATTGCCCAGGAATACGTGGTGATTTTATATGTTTACATGACACTCCTTCAACCAGTAAAGAAGGGCATGGTTGCCGCGGGATTAGTAGTCAGTCCAATTGCTATCTTTTATACCTTTCATATTCTGACCAGCCCACCAAACGCAGAGACAACCCTACCAATGACAAAAGAACAAGCTCACCTTCTTGAAATAATCGGCGAGGTTGTCTGAGTTCCAGGCCAGGACCTCTGAACGAAAGGGAACATTCCGCAATGCCATGACTGCTTGCTCCTGAGAGGAAGCTCACAAGCTGAGCACAGACAGCGCACCCATGGACAGAGAACCCCAAATCCAGAGTTTGGCGGTGTCCTGGACTCTTCCAACTCCCAGGTAGCTTCTGGAACACCCTTGTTGGAGCAGATGTCTTTTCTGCTGTTGCCAGATCCCAGAGAGCAACGGCTTCCTCTGCGAACAAATATGGTCTCTTCTCAGAAAACGACTCAGCTAGTTTCCTTTACCACTTCCTCTGCTTGGCTCTAAATAAGTAAACAAGGAAGCCCAGCTCTGGGCGCTTCAGATGCAGAGAGAGCAAACAAGTCTAACAATTCCCCATTGGCCCTGTTACCCCAGTCTAGGGATAAAGGAGATGAAATTTACTTACACTCCAATGTGAGCCCAAGTACTTTTTCATTAAAAGTCTGGGGATTCATGTGTCTACATCACACTCCTGATAGGCTGGGTCTTTGCAGATGAAAATCCATTTTGACAGCTGATCTAAAATAGACATGATTTTCTACATTGCTGATCTTCTGGGTGAAGGAATGTGATCCTTTAATGCTTCCCAACAGCCTTCCCTTCCCGCCTCAGTCCTATGAAAGGGACAAAGTTGGGACTCCATTGGCCACTTCTTCATTTATTAATGGAGGAACCTTGGTGAAGGGTGGGTAGGGTCTCAGAGTTGACAAGGAGTAACAGTAGGAGACTTGGACTTCAATGTTGATGTCACTACTTCCATGCTGTGCAGCCTCAGACAAGGACAGAGTCCAATGGAATCCCAGTTTCTCTATCTGTAAAATAGGAAAATAGAAGACGGTCTCATCTACATTTATAACTTAGTTATGTCTCATTCCTTCACATTTGTGAAGGAATGAGAATAGAATCAATTATGGCTACTGATGCTCTTGGTTCAAGCTCACCCAGAGACCTCCTGGAAGAAGGGTCTGGTTATCTACTTCCAAAACTCAGCCCCTGATAACTTTCTGGAACACAGTTTTACTCTGACATATATAGGATCACCATGAGTCATAATCAACTTGACAGTAACTGGGTTTTATTGATGTTGATATATATTCTATTCATTATTGATTCCACTAAATATTCTATTCAAAGGGCATACTCCCTGGAGACAAGAGATGAGAATCTGCTGTTTTCTTAGATGGACTGAGGCCCTTCAACCTCACATCGCCTGATTTGGCAGTGAATTGACAAATACAATTCAGCTACATCATCTGGTGCTCCATGTACACACAGCCACAACTGTCTCTCCAATGCAGAAGGGAAAGAGTGAGCTTTCTCAAATTTATTGATTGCTACTATGCTAGTCTCTGAGGTCATATCTTCTCAAAGCTCTTGAAAGGGTGACTTTGGTCATGCGTAGATTCCATCCCAAACATGATCTCAGGAGCTCCATCACTGGATATCTAAGCATTAAGTGAGATACTTATTTAGTCCCAGGCCCAGGACATGGGAAGTGATTTGTAAATGTGAGCTGGTGTTATCCTCACTCAAAGGATTCTGGGTGTACCGATTGAGGTAGTCTATGCCAAGTGCTCCTCATGGGGTCTTAATAAGTGGGTGTGCACTAAAAAGCATGTCTCTGGTGTTCAGAAGCTCCCCTCTCATGGGCAAGGTCACTTCTCTGCTCAAATCTCTAGAAGAGCAGCAGATGGTGAAAGCCATTAGAAACAGGAGAAGAAAAAGGAAATCACTTAAACAATTAAAGAAGACCTCAGGAAATTAGCTGGGAGTTAAGCAGGGCCTCAGAAGATGTGCAGAGAGTGTGTGTTCATGTTTCTGTTTTCATTTATGCATGTTTGCATGCATGTGCTTTTGTGTACACATGTGTTATTCATGTATGGTTATATTTACGTTTGTGTGCGTGCATACATGTATGTATTTACATTTATGTTTGTGTGTATGGATGTGCGATTGTGTATGTCTGTATGTTTATATTTGTATTTGTGTATATTAGTGTGTGTGTGTGTGAATTATGGAGATGAATTTTGTGAGCAAAAAATATCCACTGGTACTTCTACATAAAGGAAGAATTATCCAAGATCATCCTTAAAAGTAGAAGCGATTTTTTAAAAATTGTAATTTTTACCCCCACTTAGGAGAAGAAAAACCTACAAAAAAAGCAGAAGTTGGGATTAAGATAGAGTTAAGAAGAAAACAAAAAACCAAACCTATAGTCATCAAGTCAATTCACACTCAAAGCAACACTATAGAGCAGAGCAGAATTGCCTCATAGGGTTTTCTAGGCTGTAAACCTTACAGAAGCAGACTGCTACATCATTCTCCTGCAGAGCAGCTGTTGGATTCCAACCACCAACCTTTTGATTAGCAGCTAAGCACTTAACTACTCCATCCCTTTGAAAGAATTATCCAATAAACATGGCTAAGATGGGCCATTCTTGGAGCTCCTTTCGAAGTTTGACACACAGTTAAGAACCCTGGGTGATGATAATGATGTCCAAGATAAGAATCAGAAGGACTGCAATGCAGCAATGTTCTCCCATGTGGCAGGCAATGTCATCAGTATTTTAATTTAGCACAGTTACTGCTCTGACTTTACAGGAGAGAAAGTTGGGGCTCAGAGAGGTGAAACAATTTACCACCTAAGTTATGCAGGGTCCATGTAAAGTTGATCTGAGTTCAGAATCCCTGTTCTTGACCACTCAGGGCCACCTCAGGGCCACCTCAGGGCTCTGAGAGGTTATGCTTATTGTTCAAGGTGGAGAAAGAATTCAAACCCAGCTCCTGTGCTTTCCGTTCTCCCATTCTGCCTCCCATCAGGAGCAGGTGAGGTTATCAGACTAAAAGAGCCCTGTAAAGAACACAGCACTTCTCACCAAGTGGGTACTTGGTACCCTCTTCCCTAGAAACCAACAAGCCCATTCCTCAGAAAGGGCAGCTAGGCAGGCGTGAGTGAGCACCTGACGCAAGGGGAAATGCGTTGCTTCAGGGTTGGAGTCTTTCCTCTTCCCTAGGTCTCAGTGATTTCCCAATGCTTGCAAGTTTCACATCTCTTGTCCTGGACCAGAGGGCTCCAGGAACTCCTAGATAGGTCCAGTCAGCTAAAGGAAAGACAGGACACTTACAGAACCAGTTATACAGGTTAGCACACTTTGTCCATGTCAGGTCAAAGAGGGTAGTCATAAGAGCAGCCTGTGGTAGAGGCCCCAGTGCTGAAGACCAGGCCAACTCACTCACAGTTTGGTCTAAGTGTGAAACTAGAGTAGAGGGTGTTGGGAGCCAGTGAAGTATATCGATCAGAAGTCATGTCCTGTGGGACCCCTGTCTCTATCATCCTCGTCTAGGTGTAGAATCCCAGAAGTCAGGAGGAAGCAAATTTAAAGCATAGTAGAAGTTTTTAAGACTTCACAATATACCGTGAAACCTGTGAGAGCCAGAATTTGATGCGACAACCTTGTTTTTCCAAGGAGCTCTGGTAGCGTAGTGCTTATGAGTTGGGCTGCTAACCTCAAGGTCAACAGTTCGAAAACATCAGCTGTTCTGTGGAAGAATGATGAGACTTTTTGCTCCCATAAAGATTTACAGACACAGAAACCCTGAACAGGGTCATTATGAATTGGAACTGATTCCACGGAACATAACTACCATTATTACCCTGTTTCTGGGTCTACCAAGTATCCTACCTTTGACAGGGTGTAGGCAGCACTTTTCTATTGCTCTCTATTAGTGGGAAATATTTGAATGTTCCTTCCCTGACCAGTTTGCCCTTTACCCAGGTTCTGGCTTTGCTTTCTCAGGTTTTATCTTGTAGATAGGAAGCGGGTACACACACCGTCTCTGAGCATCATCAAAACAGAGTTATGCTACAGCACAGGGAGAGAGCTTGCAGGGTAGGAATCTGATGTGTGTAGCCCATGGAAACTGTGGACAAGAATGCAATCTTTCCAGGGAGTGATACATAGGCAGTTTGAGATCTGAGGGACAAAACAGTGGAGGTGGGGACAGCAAACTACAACCCAGAGTGGAGGATCACCCCAATACACTTCTGATCCCCACCCCGTAAGTTCCAGACTTGAAGCCCCCTCTCTTTCCCACTACCCCACAGCAGAATCAGTGGAGGAAAACTCTCTCCTCACAGTGAAGTTAAACCAGTTTCCACTGAGTTGATTTCACCCATGGTGACCCCATGTGTGTCAGACTAGAACTGTGCTTCAAGGGGTTCCCAATGCCTGATTTTTCAAAAGTAGCTCACCAGGCCTTTCTTCCGAGGTGACTCTGGTGATGGTGGTGGTGTGCCATGGAGTCAGTTCTGACTCATAGTGACCCTGCATAGGGTTTACGAGGCTGTAAATCTTTACGGGAACAGAAAACCTCATCTTTCTCCTGCCGAGCAGCTGGTAGTTTTGAACTGCTGACCTTGAGGTCTGCAGTCGGATTCATACCTATTCAGGGTCGCTATGGGTCGAAACTGACTCGACAGCACTTGACAACAACAACAACAACATGCTTCATTAGCAGCCTAGTGCATCAACAATTGCATTGCCCAAGATTCTATCTACATCTATGTTTTTTATTGTTTTAAAGCATCATCAAGTTGGTCTAGTTGGTTCTGACTCATAGCATCCCTGTAAAGGGTTTCTGAGGAGCAGATGGTGGGTTTGAACCACCAACCTTGCAGATAGCAGTCCAGTGCTTATCCTACATTTCTGGTTGTTGTTATGTTCTGTTGAGTCGTCTCCTACCCATAGTGACCCTGTATAGGATTTCTGAGGATCGATTAGTGAGTTTGAACCTCCAATCTTGTGGTTCAAACCGACCTTGCAGTCAAGTGCAGTCAAGTGCTTATCCTACAGCACTACACCAGGAGTCCACATTACATGTTGTTGTTAAGTGCCATCAAGTCAGTTTCAACCTATAGCAACCCATAGGATTTCCAAGGAGCAGCTGATGAGTTTGAACTACTGACCACATTGCAGTTCAAACTGACTTTTCATTCCAGTGCATTAACCCACAGTGCCACACCAGGGCTAACGTTTTGAGTTACTGTTGTTATGTGCTGTAGAGTTGGTTCCGACTCATAGTGAACCTGCACAGGGTTTCCGAGGCTGTAAGTCTTTATGGGAGCAGAAAGCCTCATCTTTCTCCCGTGGAACAGCTGGTAGTTTCGAACTACGGAACTTGAGGTTAGCAGCCCTAGCTATCAGAGTTAGGAGTAAGGAAAATAGACACTTCATTAAAA